CAGCAAGTGATAGACAGAGCTAAGCGATCCCACAACCAACGGATCAGATCTAAGCTCTGCAGTCCTGCCACATTCTGTTGTGAATGGTGGTGGACAATTAAACAACTCACTGGAGGAGGAGGCTCCACAAATATCCCCATCCTCAATGATGGAAGAGCCCAGCACATCAGTGCAAAAGATAAGGCTGAAGCTTTTGTCGCAATCTTCAGCCAGAAGTGGGGGTGAGGGCACTTTTGGAATACTGTGTGCAATTCTGTTCTCCCTAGTATAAGAAGGATGTTATGAAACTTGAAAGGGTTCAGAAAGATTTCAAAGGACATTGCTGGAGTGGGGGGGGATTTGAGCTACAGGGAGAGGCTGAATAGGCTGGGGCTATTTTCCCTGAAGCATCAGAGGCTGAGGGGTGACCTTATAGAGGTTTATAAGATCATGAGGGTCATGCATAGGGTGAATAGCCAAGGTCTTTTCCCCGGGGTTGGGGAGTCCTAACTTGAGGGCATAGGTTTAAGGTGAGGGGGAAAGATTTAAAAGGGACATAAGGGGCAACTTTTATCACGCAGAGGGTGCTGGTGCGTGTATGGAATGAGCTGCCAGAGGAAGTGGTTGGGGCTACTACAATTACAAGATTGAAAAGGCATCTAGATGGGTACACGATCAGGAAGGGTTTAAAGGGATATGGGCCAAATGCTGGCAAACGGGACTGTAGGGTCTGTTTCCATGCTGTATATATAATTCTAAGTGCCGAGTGGATGATCCATCTCAGCCTCCTCCAGTGGTCCCCAGCATTACAGATACCAGTCTTCAGCCAATTCCATTCACTCCCGGTCATATCAAGAAACGGTTGGAGGCACTGGATAATGCAAAGGCTACGGGCCCTGACAACATTCCAACAATAGTACTGAAGACTTGTGCTCCAGAACTTGCCACTCCCCTAGCCAAGCTGTTCCAGTACAGTTACAACACTGGCATCTACCCTACAATGTGGAAAATTGCCCAACAATGCCCTGTACACAAAAAGCAGGACAAATCCAACCCGGCCAATTACCGCCCCATCAGTCTCCTCTCGACCATCAGTAAAGTGATGGAAGGTGTCAGTAACAGCGCTATCAAGCAGCACCTGCTCAGCAATAAACTGCTCAGTGACGCCCAGTTTGGGTTCCGCCAGGGCCACTCAGCTCCTGACCTCATTACAGCCTTGGTTCAAACATGGACAAAAGAGCTGAATTCCAGAGGGGAGGGGAGAGTGATGGCCCTTGGCATCAAGGCTGCATTCGACTGAGTGTGGCATCAAGGAGCCCTAGCAAAACTGGAATCAATGGGTATCAGGCAACAAACTCTGGTGGTTGGAGTCATACCTGACACATAGGAAGATGGTCTTGGCTGTTGGAGGTCAGTCATCTCAGCTCCAGGACATCTCTGCAGGAGTTCCTCAGGGTAGTGTCCTAGGCCCAACCATCTTCAGCTGCTTCATCAATGACCTTCCCTCTATCATAAGGTCAGAAGTGGGGATGTTCACCAACGATTGCACAATGTTCAGCACCTTTCATGACAGGAAGTGTATTGAGATGAATAGAAAACTGGTTGGCAGAGAGGAAACAAAAAGTGTTGGAATTAATGGGTCCTTTACAATTTGCAGACAGTAACTAGTGAGGTGTCATAGGGAGTGGTGCTGGAACGCCAGCTATTCACAACATATATTCATGATTTGGACGAAGGAACAAAATGTAACATCTCCAAATTCGCAGATGATACCATGTTGGGTGGGAGGGTGAACTGTGACGAGGATGCAAAGATCCTTCAGCATGATCTCGACAGGTTGGCGAGGGGCAAATGAATGGCAGATGTAGTATAATTTGGATAAATGTGAAGTTATTCACTTTGGAAGCAAAAACAAGAAGGCAGATTACTATCTGAATGGCTGTAAATTGGGAGAGGGGAGTGTGCAGTGGGACCTGGGTGTCCTTGTACACCAGTTGCTGAAGGTAAGCATGCAGGTGCAGCAGGCGGTAAAGAAGGTAAATGGTATGTTGGCCTTCATTGCGAGAGGTTTAGAGTACAGGAGCAGGGATGTGTTGTTGCAGTTATACAGGACCTTGGTGAGACCACACCTGAAATATTGTGTGCAGTTTTGGTCTCCTTTTCTGAGAAGGACGCTCTTGGTCTCGAGGGAGTGCAGTGAAGATTTACCAGGCTGATCCCGTGGATGGCGGGTCTGATTGACTGGGTTAGGATTGTTTTTGCTGGAGTTCAGACGAATGAGTGAGGGGATCTCATAGAGACCTATAAAATTCTAACAGGACTGGACAGGGGAGATGCTGGGAGGATGTTCCCGATGGTGGGTGTGTCCAGAACCAGGGATCACAGTCTGAGGATTCAGGATAGACCATTTAGGACGGAGATGAGGAGACATTTCTTCACCCAAAGAGCGGTGAGCCTGTGGGATTCATTACCACAGGAAGTAGTTAATGCCAAAATATTGAACATATTCAAGAGGTGACTAGATACAGCATTTGGGGCGAATGGGAGAAAGCAGGATTACGTATGGAGTTGGATGATCAGCCATGATCGTGATGAATGGCTTGAAGCAGGCTCAAAGGGCCAAATGGCCTCCTTCTGCTCCTATCTTCTATGTTTCTATCTCTGACACTGAAGCAGTCCGTGTCCAATACAACAAGATCTGGACAATATCCAGGTTTGGGCTGACAAGTGGCAAGTGACATTCGCGCCACACAAATGCCAGGCTATGACCATCACCAATAAGAGACAATCTAACCACCGCCCCTTGACATTCAATGGTGTTACCATCACTGAATCCCCCACTATCAACATCCTGGGGTTATCATTGACCAGAAACTTAATGTGGTGAGTCCAGTTAACAGAGTAGCTACAAGAACAGGCCAGAAGCTGGGAATACTGCCGCGAATAACTCACCTCCTGACTCCCCAAATCCTGTCCACCATCTACAAGGCACAAGTCAGGAGTGTGAAGGAATACTCCCCACTTGCCTGGATGGGTGCAGCCCCAACAACACTCAAGAAGCTTGACACCATCCAGGAAAAAGCAGCCCCCGCTTGATGGGCACTACATCCACAAATATCCACTCCCTCCACCACTGACGCTCAGTACAGCAGTGTGTACCATCTACAGGATGCACTGCAGAAATTCACCAGACATCCTCAAGACAGCACCTTCCAAACCCACGACCACTTCCATCTAGAAGGACAAGGGCAGCAGACACATGGGAACACCGCAATTGCAAGTTTCCCTCTGAGCCACTCACCATCCTGACTTGGAAATATATTCCCGTTCCTTCAGTGTCACTGGGTCAAAATCCTGGAATTCCCTCCCTAAGGGCATTGTGGGTCACCCTACAGCAGGTGGACTGCAGCAGTTCACGAAGGCAGCTCACCACCACCTTCTCAAGGGGCAACTAGGGACGGGCAATAAATGCTGGGCCCAGTCAGTGACACCCACATCCCACAAAAAGAATAAAAATAAAAATTAAGACTTTCCATATTTCCTGCAATCTCATGGGTCAAACTAATCAAAGCCTTGGCTCTGAGACAATTAAGAGTAAACAATTAATGGTCACCATCAGACTCTACCTTCCAATAGGAATAGAGAGCTACAACTTACCACTTTTTAAAAAATGTTTGAAATCAAGAGTAAGGGAAGTTACAAAAATATATTTAAACATTGGAATGTTTCAAAGGAACGTACAAGAACAAAATGACACTGAGTGCCCAGTACCAGCACATTGTTGTCCCAGTCACATAGCATGTT